AACTTGTGTGTTTGGTGTCGGCTATGGCACAAGAGAAGCTGATTTCTTAAAATTGTTTTGGCTTTATCCTTAGTTTAAAGGTATATATCCTAAGAATGTGACTGTTGTTGGATTAACAGTTTACTTGTTCTTGTAGATGCAATATGTGTATCTGTGTGAGCATGTTCTATTGCTTTTCCTCTATTATGAGTTCCAATTTCCTGTTATTTCTCCAATAATTTGTAACAATAATAACTTTTATTAGGTCGCAATGACTGGTGATGGTGTAAATGATGCACCTGCACTTAAGAAAGCAGATATCGGAATTGCCATGGGATCTGGAACAGCTGTTGCAAAGGTATGCATAATTTTCCTCTCTCAGGTTCATTTGTTCTCATACGCCCCTTTTCATTTTTATGAGTGGTAGAATGTCTAAAACCACTATTTTTGTATAACCAACATAAAAACAAGAAATATGCACATTCTAATTACACAATGATACATAATTTCCACATTACTGTTTTTTCATCCACAATGCTTTTCATTCTGATGTTGCTAATGTTGAGTGATTCGATTTGACTTGCTTCGTTATTACTATCTTTATCCTTTCAATTACAGAGTGCTTCAGATATGGTTTTAGCTGACGACAATTTTGCTACCATTGTTGCGGTATGTTACTTACAGTTTGTTCCATTTTCTTCATGACATATTTGTATTCTTGTTTTTTTCTTTTTTTCTTCTGTTTTAAAGTCCATGCATTCCTTCACATAGAGGATGTAAAAGTTGTCTTTTCAATTCGGACAGGCTGTTGCTGAAGGAAGGGCTATATACAACAATACAAAGCAATTCATCAGATACATGATCTCTTCAAATATTGGTGAAGTAGTTTGTATTTTTGTGGCGGCTGTACTAGGAATACCTGATACCCTTGCTCCCGTGAGTATGTTGATTTAAGAAAATACTTGCAATCTGGCATCATATATCTTTAAATGAGGGGAGAAAAAAGGAACTATATTTAGTTTAGAACACTGTCATTTTCATTGATTAAAATAATGACAATGATGAGATCTTTACATCTTAGCATTCCAACAGAATATATCCTGATCTGGCCATTTTTGTTTAATTTTTCATGATATTTTCATTATTTTCTTGATGGTCTATATAACTAGGAATTACTTTTTCTATCAAACCCAAGATTGCAATTATTTTGATAGCCTTTCTAAGATTATCTTATTCTGGTAGTTTAAATAGATAATACTCTTGATTTTTATTTTTATTTTATTTTAAAAACAATGTCCAGGTCCAGCTGCTATGGGTCAACTTGGTTACTGATGGATTGCCTGCCACTGCCATTGGATTTAATAAGCAGGATTCTGATGTGATGAAGGCTAAACCTCGCAAAGTACTGCTTTTATGATTTTCAAAATTTTCCAATAGCATGATGCTTTATTTGGAGAAAGGATAAACAGAACCAATCAAGATTCTGTTTAAAATGAAAACATGGAAAGAAGCGCAAAATTGTTAGAAATTTTATTGAACACAATAGAGTTGGTTCAGCTTGATTAATTTTTCCTTATTTTGTATTTTTTTTAAAAAATCATTTAGATAGTTTAAGTATATTTTGTAATAAAAATTACAGATTTATCTTTTTATTTTTCTTTAGTATGATACATTTGTAGATAACTAATTTTCCGTTTCAATTCAGGTCAATCACTTTACTTAACTTGGGTGTGCAGGTTAGTGAAGCAGTGGTCAGTGGCTGGCTTTTCTTTCGATATTTGGTGATTGGAGGTATGTATAAATGCTGTTCTAATTTCTCTATTCTAATAATCTGGCATTGTTTCTCTTTGGAGTTTCTTCTGAATGACTTTCAAGTTGCAATATCATTTTGCTTTGCTTCCTACGCATTTTAAGATTTAAATTCTGAGTAGTGCTATAAGTTTCTTACATCATTTGGATCAACTCAATTGAGACTATATTTTGTAAAATATTGACTATTAAGGATTTTCCCCCTGGTTGATGTAGCTTATGTTGGCCTTGCAACTATTGCGGGGTTCATATGGTGGTTCGTTTACTCAGAAACTGGTCCTAAACTACCATATAGCGAATTGGTAAGTTTCTTTTTTGACGGAGTTTTGATGTTAATGAATGTCTGCCCTTGAGAATGTGTTGAGAAATATATTGAAGAGGTTGCTGTTTCTTTTATGCTTGTTATTGGCCTTGGTGTGATGCTTTGATTTATCTCCATTTTTTATTATGAACTGTGTACGATATATATGACATTTAATAGTGAACTGCAGATACATTGGCTAGCAATATAAATTTAGTGAATAAATGTATTGAATATTTGTTTTGATGTGCGAACTTTCTTAGATAAAATTAATTTGCTCTTTGTGGGATTTTCTGATGTTTTTATGTTCAACATGTTCCCTAATTACATATCTTAAATTTCAGCATTAAAAATCTGAAGAACTCAATGTGTGGAGAAAAATTACTTAGTCTACAGTCTACACTTTTAGCTTTTAGATTTTTGATCATAGGCTTATAAAATCACTCTTCTAGGTTTGCACGTCTTTACATATTTCTTTCAGAATACCTGATAAGTTAATTTGTTGCAGATGAATTTTGATACGTGCCCAACAAGGGAGACAGCTTACCCATGTAGTATTTTTGACGACCGTCATCCATCGACTGTGTCCATGACTGTGCTTGTTGTTGTTGAGATGTTCAATGCGTTGAATAACCTCAGTGAAAACCAATCACTTTTGTAAGTATAGTGTTTGCTAGCATTTGACCAACAACTTTTTTTTTGTTGTTGGTGGTGTTGGGAGGAGGGTGGATGAGGAAAGACTTTGCGCTAATCTTTTCCCAACTTTTTAAATTTTAGGGTTATTCCTCCTTGGAGTAATATGTGGCTAGTTGCTTCAATAATCTTAACAATGCTCCTTCACATGCTAATTCTGTATATTCCCCCACTATCTACACTATTCTCTGTAAGTTGTTTCCTCTATCTGCCATTCACCTGGTTATTGAATTTGTTTCTATTTCCCTTTTTCTTATTTGAGGAAACTAATTTACTGGCATAAAAATATTGTTTTATAGGTTACTCCATTGTCTTGGAATGATTGGACTGTTATCCTTTTTCTTTCTTTCCCTGTAAGTACCAAGTAGCATAAACTTTTATAACGGGTAGCTGTATTGTGATATGAAATTGCTTTATGTTGTACAGTTTTTTCATGGTACACTCGTCACTTTGGCCTTTAACTATTGGTGGTTGTGGTATGGCTTTCATTGAGATGATTTGTTGTACTCATTTCTACCATTTTCTAATATCTGTTGCAGGTTATAATTATTGACGAGGTGCTAAAGTCCTTTTCACGAAATTCCCATGGTAATGCTTACCCTTCATTTGGGTATATATCTTTTGACCTAATGAGCAACCACCGTGCCTCTTGTGTGAAGAACATTCTCTGTTGCAATATATTTCAGATCATTATTAGAAGAGTGTGTCACCATAAAATATCTGTTTGCTTTGATTTGTTGTAGGTATAAGGTTCAATTTCCGATTCAGAAGATTCGAGGCACTTCCAAAAAAGGAACTGAGAGACAAGTGATAATTTGCTTTACAGAATCTTAATCATTTTAGTATGTTTTGAGCGGATATGAGGCATAGCTGACGGGTTTCTCCTCTTTGGAGATACAAATGGAGGATAACTTGCTCAAGTTCTTGGGATGTTTTTTGTTTCTTTCACTGGTGCCTCTTGAAAATCAAGCCATAACGACGAAGTTGATAATTTGGTGCCTTCTATATATGATGACTGATGAGTTAATGCGTCGATGTCTTTAGGAAGGGAAAATGCGTTGTCTTATTACTTCAGAAGTGGTTGTTTACATTTTTAGTTTTTTTTTAATTAATTTATTTGCTAATACAAGAAATGAACATCACGTCTCCTATAATTACGACTGCCTCGACTTATATTTATGTCGATCATAGAAATGAATCTACTTCAGATTTCTGAACTCATGAATAGATCCAAATATAAGCATATTCATCACCCAACTCTCTTTTTTTTGTTAGCGCAGGAACTAGCTTAATGAACCATGAGTTGTCGTTGGCATACAACACAAGCTTGGTCATCATGCAGAAAACTTGAATCTCCTCGTGACTAGCATACGTTTTTCTTTTGGCTCCCAAAAAAGTAATTTAACCGCACACTTCCTATCATTCTGAATCCCAACTTCCATGGTGGTTCTAATCCATCATATAACCCCCACAATTCAGCTTCATGCACCGAACATTGACCAATGTTGCGAGCAAAACCATGCAACTATTGATTACAGTGTTTACGCAGAACACCTCCAATGAACGCATAGCCATCAGACCCGTTGGCTGCGTTGTCCGTATTAACCTTTACTTGCTGACAGACATTTCAATGAAATCCACGTTGAGAACCTTTTGGTTACGACGCAGCCAAAGCAAATAGCATATTGTTCCCGACATTCAAAACTTTGTTCATCAATTTGAACGAGCTACGATAAACCGTATGTTAAATGACCCACTTAATCGAACGATCAAAAGTCCGAGAATTTAATCATGTAGATTTATTGTTTTGTTTCTGGAAAAGAGCCATAGTTTAGCCCATGGAAGTGAAAAACAAATCGTGAGAATAGTTTGAAATTTTTTTACCACCATGAAGAATGACCGACGAAGCTCACCAAGATGATGATCAACGGCCCGATCCAAAGTTTTTTCCCAAGAAAGCGTAGAATGATTTTCTTAAAAATTATAAATTACATAACAAATGGATCAAGTCAGGTTGGATCCGACCAAGCTCTGCATCTTGACTCCCGTGCGATCCAAATCGTACTGCATTTTATTATGTTTTATTTTTTTGTGTCTAAATTACAAGTCTAGACCTCCTATTGTCGCGTGTTGTTCAATTTAGCAATTTTGAATGATTTCTTTACTAATTATCCCTTTCATTTCCAGTTCCTTTTAATTTAGCCATGTTTTAAAAAAATTATCTTCTTTAAAAAGTACCTTCAAAAACTTCTTAAAATTGTGATTTTATGGATATTCTAAAATTATCCATTTTCTCAACTCTGATCAACGGCCATTCTATCTTCAGAAGGTGTTGAAGGCTCACCCATGCATTCCGTTTCCACTGAGGCTGCTGCAACATCAACACTCTTCTCATGCTCTGGTTTCTCAACCTTCAATTTCTGCCAAAAAAATATTCAAATAGATTCATCTCGATGTTAATTGACAAACAGTGTCTAGCATGCAGTTCATCACAGATATAAGTTATGGAGTTGCTGCAGGATTCTTTTCCTCAGGATGATTGTTTGATCATTCATCAAATATAAAACATTGTTGAACACCACTCACCTTTATGGGCACAGATGGGTCCTTCGACACACGTGCAAACATGTTGGTAAAGAGTTTAGCATCCCTCTTGTTGCTTTCAACTTGGAGTTGTGTCAGTGTCTTCTGAAGTAGCTTTACCTCCCTGGCAAATGTAACAAACACGACTATGGCAACTTAGCAATTACAATGAAACTTGCATATCAAAGTTCAATATTTACTTGTTTTGGGGGTCAGCCTCAAGAGCTTTCTTGATGTCAAATTCAGCTGAAAGTAAATCTGAAATTTCCATGTAGGCTTGTGCCCGCCTATACAGAGCTTTCACATTGTGGGACTCGAAATCTAGTACCTATAGGAAGATCAAAATTTAAAAATAAAATAAGACACCTTTTTTCCAGCTAATCAACCTGGGGAAAATCTACGTGGTCTTCAACGCTAGATATAGAACATAAAACAATGATGGCTTTTGTGCTTCCACTGCGGAGCTAAATGTGTATACACATTCAGAAAGCCAGTGATAATATGAGATACACCGCCATGGAGAGGCTCTTTCACTATCACATATGTCAAACCATAAAAGGCCCAAAGTAAATATATAATATAAGAGATGCAGAAGTAGATTCCTGGTTTTAATGGCAACAGAGGTTGTCCGTAAAGGAGGTTGATTTTTGTAAATTACTTTGTTCATGCTCTCTAGTGACCAGTTTCCAAGACATTTATTACCATTTTAACAAGGGGAATGGTCAACCATTTCAATTCTATTAGATTGCTCTTGAAAACCAGGCAACTTACCTTGGAACATAACTGGATTGCCCCCTGGAAATCACTTAGTTTGAGGCTACATGCTGCACCATTCAACCAGCAAGAAATCCTCAATGCTTTCACTAATTTTTGCTCATCATCCCGAAAGAGTCCATCTTCACTGACATAGTCCACAGCCTAATAGCATACAGGATAGTTAGCAGGAAATAATTATTTGAAACATGAAGACTCATAGTTTAATCAGACAAAAACAATGCTTGAGATTACCTTATCATACTTTTTTCCCGCTCGTTGGTAGTTCCCATTTTTAAAGAGTATATTCCCTTCTTCTTTCTTTACCCCAGCAGCCTCAATTTTCTCTTTACTATTAAGTTCCCATGGGGCTTTTTCCTATTAAGTTCATTATGCAGATGCAAAACTCAGTAGATAAACACTTCCAACCTCAGCCCCAGAACGACACGGGGGCGGGGATGAGGTAAGAATCCCAAATATACGAGGACATTAGATCAAGATTTAGAGGAGAATTTAGACCCCACATAGCAAAACTAGAGATCAGTGCCTATGGAAATACTTGCTACAAAGTACTAACTAAAGGAGCTGCATGTTTAACAAGTCTACATGGCTACAGTATTCACCTTAACAAAATACAACATTTCAACTTCATAGATTAGGTTTGAAGAAGGTGGGACTACAGCAAGATCCCGCTCTGCTACAACACTACCAAAACCGTACTCTGGACTAACTGTCAACAATGCTCGTTCCCCCTTCTTCATTGTTGCTGCTGCTTGGTCCAAACCCGGAATCACTTGTTCTATTTTTCAAATTGATAAGTAATTAGATATGATCCAAAGTTTATTATTGGCAATCTAGCAAAAATTCAATAAGTGCACAATAACCTTCATCTGTTATAAATTCCAATGGCCGCTCTCCATCAACTCCCTTTTTCTCAAATACAGTACCATCTTCTAACCTAGCGGTATAGCTAACTGCAATTCAAGAGGAAAGTACATAAAGGAGCACTAGTCGAGAAATATTTAGAGCACATAAATTATGCAAGGCCATGGCCTCATGATATAATATACTGATTGAGTCACCTTAATGAAACAATCCATTATCCCAACATTTCCTAAACAAGTTGGCAATAACTTTTTTTGTGTCCAATTTCATTTCTTGCCGAAAGAGCAAGCAAAGACATACACTTAAAGCTGTTGCACGCCATAAACCTTTAAGATAATCCAATTTATCATCACATATCATATACCTTCAAGATACGATCCAGTATTGATCCCTTACCAAATCTAGGTGGAAATTGGAACAATATCACTACCTATGAACCTAGTTTGATTTGGATGAACACTGATAAGATACTGTAATGGGTGACTGTACTTACTAGTTACTGCAGCACCTTCATTTGCAACAAGAGCACCCTCTCCCTCTTTCAAAATCTTTTTGAATACCTTAGAATCACCAGTAACATCAATAACAGGCTTGAAAGACACCAATTCCAATTCAATGTTCAAAACTGAATTTGGAGTGATACTTGGGAACCCATCAGTGGTATCCTTCCCCTTCTCTCCAAAAGCATCTGCATTGAACTCAATACATTATAAAACTTGGAAGTATATGTCTCTAGGAATAGAAGTCGATCAAGACTAGAATTGCAGTAGACCAATTATCAGATGACGACATACACTTAGGTTGAACGATTAGTTTAACCTTCTCTCCCCTTTTCATTGTTACGGTTGTTTTTGTCAATGCAGAACAAAAATGACCTGCAAGAGCAGAAAACATGTTGAAAACTTCCATTTATAAGAAGTACAATATCTCTTCCCAACTGCCATAAAAGCCAAATATTCAACTAAAATTACCGTCTTTCACATAGAACTCATATCCTTCTTCGGGAGTTTTTGCAACAATAGTCCCATCAACAAGCGCCACTTGATACTTGACTGCATAAAGAAAAGGAAGAAATATAAAAGCAAACACTATAAACCTCCAATGAATCACTTTAAAGGCAAAGCAAATAAAAAAAATTCACTATTTAAGAGTTCAATATACCAAGAACTTCATCTAAATCACTAGCCCGTTCATTCCTCTCTCCCTTCTCCATAATCTTCTTAATGATACCACCATCTTTGCATATATCCACCACCGTTATCCAAGAAAGAAGTTCTACATCAAATTGTATAATAGAATCAGGTGGGATGCCTTCACCACCTTCAGATTCATAACCAAAACCTGGAGGCAACGTGAACAATACGCGTTCCCCCTTCTTCATAGTTGCAATTCCATGATCCAAACCACAGGCCACTTGACCTATCAAACCCATTAAAACATAAATTAAGCTTAAATAAAACAGTTAATCAAGCAGCACCATCAAGATTAAACCAGCCAACACTCACCTTCACCAAGCTTAAACGTCACTGGTTCACCATTATCCCTTGTGGAACAAAACTTTGTCCCGTCAAGCAAAGTACCCACAAAATGAACTGCATAGTCTCTATCACCCTTTACTCAAAAAATCAAATAATTCCAAAAGAAAAAAAAAACCTTTTAAAAAATGAAGTCCAGAAATAAATATAATGAAATTACCGGTGACTTCGTCGCCAAACTCAGGCGTTTCCCAATGGATACCATTTTTTAGGAGCTTTTTCTTGATACCAGTATTACCCAACTCTCTCTCCTCGCCCACCTTGAGAGGCGGAGCTGATTCAATTTCCTCCCCGGGTTCCTCGTCGAGCTCATCTTCACCCTGAATATCTGACACGTTGGATCCTTTCCCTTTCTCCACTTCCATCGAATTGGGTTCCTTTACTGGCGAGAGAGTAAAGTAAATGACTTATGAGGTGCTCGTGAAGCGAAATGAATTTCGGGGAACAAAGGACGATCAGACAAAACACTGAATAAGTGAAGATTGTTGAAATTAATGAATGATGTGGCGGGACGCTGATGCGACTGTTGGGAAGTGTTCTATGTTCGGCCCTGTATCTGTGTCACTTGCTTGGTCAGTTTGTGCATTTGTTAAGTTTTCTGGAGGTAATGGATTACTGGTTTGCTTTCAAGTTTCTAGACTTTTCATTCAGTTCATAAATGTTAGCCCATATATAGTTTCAAACAAGTCATTGAACTTGTGAGGCCCAAACTTAACGATGTTGAAATTAGCTCATGTTTAACTGCCTTGTTCTGTGTTTGTTTCACTCATATTTAGTTTTGGGTATAGTGTCACTAGCTTAATGAAATGATTTTCGTCTTTTAACTCATATAATAATCATTAATTAGCACAAATCAGCCGACGAATGTGGGTACAAGCAGTTAAGATTTATAAATTTGAGTTTGTAAGGTCAAGTTTGAATCCTACCACTGTTACTCTTGACGAACAATCTGTAAATTTCTATATAAATCTCAATTGGGTCTTAGGTATGCAATGGCTCTGAACTGGGACCTAAACTTTTTGTTATAAAAAAATTAACACAAACCAAACGATCTCATTAATTAAAGATATTTATTGCAAGTCTTTAAATATATACCGTTTTGTATTCATCTCATGATTATCAAAAAATAATTATTATAAAATAGTTTTTAAATGTATCAAAATTTATTATTATTTTATAATATATAATGATTATTTTGTAAAAACTTAATAAATTTAATAATTATTTTATAAAATCTAAAATTTTAATAATTAAAAAAATTATTTTAACATGCTTTAATAATCATTTCTATACTCTGCCTTTTAATTTTTTAGATGTTAAGATTCTTAATCATCTTTCTTTCGTTCTGAGGATATTCGTCTATTCTTTGAATGTTAAGTTTATTTATCTAACTATACTTGTTATAAAATTCTGAACTGAAATAATAATATTGTAATGTTAATTCTATATTAACATAATTAAAAATGATTAAAATACTTTTATAAGATAATTAGTATTATGTCAATTAAACAATGAAATTGATAAGCCAAATGAGCCATGTAGGGTACGTAATATAGTATTTTATTATTTGGTTGAAGTGAAAGATAAAACACTGCGTGGAAACTATCAAATCTTGTATTTGTAAAGTTTTCTATGAGTTGTGTCTTTTGTCTTCCAAAACTGGCTCTATATAAATAAAACGACTGTTTGTAGAAGGGTCTTTCCCGTTTTAGCTTCGTTAGTTTCAGTTCTTAGTTGTGTGTTTGCTGTCACAATTCCTACTACCAAACCACACATATCCTTTCCTGAAGATGGTGAGACACATCTATACTAGATTTGGATGCCATCAAATATAACTCCATTACAGTGTGGGATTTTGTTTTCATCAAAGTGATGACAAAAATAAAGAATGTAAAACACTATTTTTTTTTCCTTTCTAAAATGCGATGCATGTAGACATGTAATAGATATTGTTTCCTGCAATTCCTTGCCTTTGATTTATTATCTTTTTGGCCATCATTGCCACTTGAGACTTTCAACAAATGAGGTCAAATGTTCCTTCTTTGGGAATAAGTTGTCCCAAATCTATTATATTCTGAACAGAGTTTTAAATCGCGATCGTAGTCGTGTTTTTTGTCATTTCAAAATTATTGTGATTGAGGCCGTCGCGGGTGCTATTGAGCGCTATTGCGGATGTAACGGATAACTCAGACGATGACAGAACTATTATATCGCGGACGAATTCGCGTTTTCGGAACTTTTTTTTATACCGTCCGAGAAAACAGCTCAGAACAAAAAAGAGAGAACCTCTTACTCCCCCTTAAATGCTATTACATAATCAATAGGAATCAAAAGGACTTGCTTTTGTGACACCATAGCTTTTGCTTCTCGGATACAACAAATCTCGCTTCTTATCCACAACACCCTCGTTTTCTTCAAATTCACAAGGGTTTTCTTCATCAATTCTTCCCATTGCAACACTGCAGCTCTTTGGCAACCCCATTTGCACCCTCGATCGTTGTTGTTGAAAAAGCATCTCCACTTCCTTCATATGACCCAAACTCCTAACAGATGCAGCTCTAATAAGCTCTTTAAGATCATCGTTCTCACTGGATGCTGCCGAGCTCACACTAAAGCTCCTCGGCAACCCTGCGTATTGCCCGGAACAGCTGCCCTAGGCATGTCCATAGCTGTCACTTGAAGCACAACTTGTCAAACTTCTAACATATAAATCCCTGGCTTTTCCCAACGCTGTGAGAGATGGCATTTTGGGAGGCGGTTGTGGGGTAATATCCACTGGTTTTTCCTCGGAGATATTGGATCTGAAGTTAATGATTGAAGAGCTTGAGTTTGTAGATGTGCCAACGGTTTTCATATGTCCAATTTCTTTGGAGCCAATGCAAATTCCGGTGACTCTTTGCACTGGCCAAACCTATGAATGATCCAACATTCTTAAATGATTTTCCATAGGCCGTTACACTTGTCCCACCACGATGCAAGAGCTCTGGGATGACTCAGTGACTCCAAACAAGATGCTTCAGCAGCTAACTTTTAGTTGGTTTTCTCAAAAGTATTTGGCTATGAAGAAGAGGTCAGAGGATGTCCAAAGAAGGGTCAAAGAGATTTTGGAGATTTTGAAGAAAGTTAAGGGCCAAGCTAGAATTCAAGCGCTTAAGGAGCTTAGGCAAGTGGTTCAGGCTTATGGAACAGCTCACAAGACTGTTATGGAAAATGGAGGCGTTGGTTTGATTTCATTTTTGCTCGGTCCTTTTACAACTCATGCTGTTGGGTCGGAGATAATTGGAGTTTTAGTGAACTTGAATCTAGATTCCAATTTCAAGTCTGATTTGTTGCGACCTGCTAAAATGTCTTTAATGGTGGATATTTTAAATGAATGGTCGATTGAGACCAAGATAAAATGTACGAGGTTGATTAGGATGTTAATGGGGGGAATGATTTTGCATCTGAAAATGTTGCAAGTTTGACTCTTCTAGTTGGGTTGCTGAGATTAGTGAAAGATAAGAATCACCAAAATGGGGTATTGGCTGGATTGAGTTTGCTCAAAGTAATTTGTTCTCATGAATCGGTTAGGAACTCTTTTGTCAAATGTTGGGGCAGTCCCTCAATTGGTTGAGCTGATGCCTGGGTTGAATAATGAGTGTTTGGAATTAGTCCTTTATTTATTGGAGCTTTTTTCAAAAATACCAGAAGGGAGATTGGCTTTGAAAGATTGTCCACGTACCATACCAAATGTGGTGAAATTATTGATGAAAGCTTCGGAAAACTGTACGCAGCTTGCATTGTCAATACTGTGGGCCATTTGCAAGTTTGCACCAGAGGAATGTGCTTCACTTGCTCTGGATGCAGGCCTGGCTGCCAAGCTACTTCTAGCTATACAGAGTGGTTGCAATCCTGTTTTGAAGCAAAGGTTGGTCGAGTAGTTGAAATTGTGTAGCCTAAATTACACGACTACCATCTTTATTTCCAAGTGTAACCTCACAAGAACGATTCAATGAAGGAAAATCGCAGCTTGTTTGTTATTCTTGTATCAATACAACAAATGGGGCTGACGAGCTTTCTGTTTTCGAGAGCTATATGAAAGGAGATGGGTCTCTAAGGTACCCATTTCTCTCTCTCATCTGTACACTAGAGAATTTCCGTCATATTATTGTTTCATATCAAGCACCAGCATAATGTGGATTAAAGAATTGAAGTTGGCGTAGTTTACCAATCAATTTTCTGTATGCTCAAGTTTCGATCCATATTGTCCTATAACTCCCAACAAGGTTTTGATTCAAATTTGCTTGTCTTACTGGTTTTTTGTTGTTTCAATCACATGAGGAAATGTAATTGCATACTCTTATAATGAGCTGAATGGGGTTGGGAAATGATGATAAAGAAGGAAATGATACGAGGAATGGGATTTCTGTTGGCATTTGTGTTTAGGATTTCTGGGTAATCCTGCCTGATTGATCCCGATATTTTCTTCATCTCTGTAAGGCTTATGTGAAAATTTACATTTGTATACCATGGTTCAAAGAGTTCTCGTTTGTCTTGAATCTTAAACTTTTTGTAGAGATTGTAAAACCGTTCTAGGTTGCTATCTAATAAAACTCTGCAAAACCTATTTGAATTGCTGAATTGAAACTGCCTTGAGCTGGAATTTTTTTCTTTACATAAATGCTTATATTCTAAAGGAGATGAACTCTAAGACTGTAGAGCAAATTTGAGGGAACTCGCATAAATTTTCAAGGAAAAATGATTTGGTCAAGGGGTACCCCATGTCTTCATTTACTTTTTTGAAAGAAAATCTGGTGGGCTCATTTCATCATTTGAATCAAAACTGTTAGCAATAGCTTGAAGGTGAGGCTTTTGCTGAAAAGAAGTTTCTCTACAGATAGCAGCAGTGCTGGCTGCTGGTATGGATATGCAATGGAAACTGGGATCTTCTTGAGTGGAGGCGAATGAGTCAACTTTGCCTAGCTTCTTCAACATAAATGATGTTCAAGTTGGAGGATGCTTTTGAAAAGTATATTTAATTGAAGATGATGCATTACATAGAGTAGAATGATTAGTTCCAAGTTTTCAAGGAGGGGATAGCCCTGGATTCCACTTTCCTTGTCACGAATGCATGCACACTCACGCCCCTTTTCCATTGAAAACAACACACATTTGTGCAGGTGGGAAAAAGTGAGGAAAATCTTGTCCACCCTCTAAAGTAGAGCCAGCTGAGGAGCCCTGCCATTGCACCCTTCTCCAATATCTCAACCAAAGTGCCAAGAATCTGATCAAATGCATTGTTGCCCTTTTGAATGGAGACTCGGCGACTCTCAATTCAAATTTATTTAATTAAAGATTATAAGGCTATATTTTTTTGGTACACTTGAAACCTTACTAACGAAGTTGGAAGGGAAAAGGGCTAAGATCGAACCTTCAATTTCCAAGGCAACTTGCAGTATTGAACCCTGTTATACCATCCCCGAAGTCCTCCGAAAACAGTCCAAGACCATCTCAAAAGTTGGCGGCTAATAGTTAACTTGAGGTAATAAATTGATAACTACTGCGTCACCGATAAAAACCCTATTCAGGATGCTAAGCCGAATTATATTTTACAGCCACCCGTCTTTAAGCTGGATATCCTGCCTCTAGTTGTCATGTCTATCTTTTTCAAGTTCAAAGTATTCTCAATTGTCTTATCAATTTAAGTCTCAACTCTCATTAACTATTCTTGATCATATTACCTTACAACTCTTCATTTAAATTAAAAAAATGAACCGTAATTGAACACAACCAACATTCATCCCACCCGTTAAACATTAACGAACTCATACAAGCTTTACTCTTAAGCCAGTGTAAGCTGATAAAGTTTATTTTATTTAAAATTTTTCTTAAATGTTTTTTAAAGTGTTTTACAAATAAATTTTAAAATAATAGTAGAGATAAAATTTGATATGGTAAGAATTAGGGACAGATGCAGTAATTTGTGTCAGGGGATACGAACATAAAAAATGTATTAAAAATTTAGGGGGTGTGAGATTATAAATTCTTAGGTGTGTGAAATTAAATAATTCATATAAAATATAAAAAAAATCCTAATATATTAGGGAATTTAAAATTTTTAGAGAACACCCCTGCACCCATTGGTCCATTGTGAACAATATCACAGGTTCCATTTAGTAATTTGGTTATATATAAAAATATAGTCATAGCAATAAATACAATTATTACTTATGATGAGATGACTAATCCAAAGCATCAAAACAATGTGAGAGACACATTGGTCTCCTTCTATAATGGTACTTTTGCAACTCTGGTGAAACTACGTCAAGTGTTAACAAGTTTGAACTCGAACACAAGTTCAATTCTTAATCACAGTGAGAATGCAGGTATAACGAGAGGTGGCTTCGAGAATGAAGAACTTTTAAAAAGAGTGAAAGAAGGAAGCTCATTTGATAGTAATGGGTGGTTTGATAAGGTCTCATCCACACTGGCGATTCCCTGCAATAGGAAGTTCGTGGTTGACGTTACCGGAAGGGTGACCTTTGAAACAATTAGGTTCATACTGGAGTTCCTATTGTGGAAGCCTTCGGATGGTTTGAGAAGAAGCACTCATGTTGTCCATACGGTGGTTGTGCAAAGGGGATAGAATGTAATAAGATATATCGGTGCAAAGTCGTCTGTTATTGTCACCATTTGTCTTGCTTTGTACTTTAGATACTTGGGTGGCAGTAAGGTTGTCTTGCCTGCAAGAATTGATTTGTTCAGTCTTTTCATGGAAACACAGCAAGGTTGCCTTGCAGATTTGTCTCCTGCAAATAAAATGTATTGACTGAGGTTCGTGAAGTTCATTTTTGTTGTTATTGGTATTTCTTTATGAGGTATATAATGGTTTCCTCCAAACCATTAGCATCATTTGTTGAAGTATGAGTGCATACGTGGTAGGAGCGGCAGCTAGTGTATGTGGGAACTGTGAGTTAGTTAGTTGTTATTCAAGTTAGTCAAGCAGTTAGAGGTTGGTTACGAGTTGGTAAAGCTGTTATGCAAGCTTTCATGTATAAAAAACTGATGTACTACCTTGATGAATAACAAGTTCAGTTACTTCACTTAGTATTCTGTTAAACTTGAGTATAAATCACAACATGGTATCAGACGCTGGTGATTTGGTGGCGTGGTAAAGGTCTGCTCGTGGACGGTTGAGCATACGTTGTGATATGATGCCTCCGGTCTCTCCGCTTCCTAGTGGTGGTGTGAACAGTTCGATTACTCGGGACTTGCCTCGAAAGGGTTCACGAACAAACGACTGAGCGTTGTTCTTGATGATAGAAATTTCTTGTTGTGGAAACAACAAGTACTGTTAAAGGTGAGGAGTCATGACTTGAGAAGCTACTGTCTGGCTCGGTTGTTCCTCCGCCTGCAATGGTTGTGCTCGATGATGGTACAACAGCTGAGAATGAGGATTATGAGGTTTTCGTGGCACAAGACAGTGCATTGGCCTCATGATTGTTATCTACGGTCAGTCCATCCTTGCTGCCACATCTAGTGGGGGTAGAAACGGCTGCGCAAGTGTGGAACACTATAAACAAGATTTTTGTCTGTAAATCAACGACGGCGGTGATGAATCTGCACTATCAACTAAAATCAGTTCATCAGGGTGAGTTAGGGATGCATGTACAT